TGTCATTACCAAACACTTTTTCCCAGTCTGTGGCTTCCCTTTTTACCCTGTTAGAGAAGTTTCTGGATGCGCATAGGGATTTGATTCTTAGAAGGTCAAGGGCATAAATCTTTATAGGTGACTTCTCATCTTTCTTTCTGGATTAGCTGATGAATTTGAACTGCTGACCTTTGGTTAGCATCCCGCACATCAGAGATGAAAGGCAGTAACAATTGCTCTAGAACTTGTGTGGCTTAAGTCCCAGAAAAGAGAAGAAGGGCAATGTTGAGAAAACAATCACCAAGAACTTCCTGAACTTGGTTGAAGACCTCAATGTACAGACTCAAGAAGCTCGGGAGAAAACCTACACAGGACAACAAAGGAATCAAAGCTGGGCCTCCATGTATAGCATAAGCAAGGGTTGGAATCAACTTTACTGTAACCTTAAGTTAGAACTTTCACTTAACACCACAAATTAGAGAGAAACCCACAGCACGTTTATGAGGCCACAGAACGTGGCAGAGAGAAAGTGTTCATAACCAGCTTGGGCTGTGGGAGCTCGGGCCTCACCTCGATGGACGAGATGGAACACTGAGTTGGCACTTCTCTTTCGTAAGATGTTTTCAGCCACAAGGGTGAAGTTGTATTGCTTTTGGAAATTCTCAGTCACTTGCCAAGTGCACCGATTATTGTGTTCACAAACCTTCCTTTTCTGGGAAAATCTTTAAAGAAACAAACAAACAAAATTATAGGGTTGACTTCTGTCAATATGGACGTCTCCTCTTAGTGGCTGGACACCCTCTGTGACTGCCCCAACCACGCCCCACACGATGGCATGGAGCCAAGGGCAACAAGTATTAACAATGAGCACACTGTGCCCTTAATTAATCTCATTATATATATATATATATATGTTAATAAGTGAGTTCTGGTTATGTAGTCCATAGGAGCTGTGATGTTAACCCAAAAATGGTATCTCTCTCTGGGTTCAAATCTACCAGTGACTCCTGAGGATAAAGATGGACAATCTCTTCCCATGGAATTTACAGTCTCTAAAAACCCACTCAGAGGCAATTATGAGTCAGTTCTGACAGAAGTGAGTTTGGGGGGGGCAAATGTTAATTATGTCAATTATGACCATAACTCCCCATGAGTGGTGAGGACCCTGGATAGAATTGTTTCTTCAAAAGCACCTGTACATAGTGATGTAAGGAGCAAGTTTGGTAAAGATCCCTCATGATCTGATAAAACAAGGAGCTGCAAAAGGAGTAAAAATGGAAACACCCTTAATCCCACTGCAGCCCTGATTCAACACGGGGGGGTTTCCCAGGAGTCTAGCCTTTTGTCTCAAGAGGAATAAAAGGAGAATAAAGATAGAAAGAAAGTGGAACTGCAGTACCAAGAAGAAAGACAGTCAGGAGCAGAAAACATCTTCTGAACCTAGGTCCCTGTGCTAGGAAATGCCTAGAAGCACAGATAAAGGAAGACAGCCTTCCCTAGAGCCTTCTCCTGAACGTGGACTACCAGCAGCCTAAATGGTGACAGGAGAAATTTCTACTGGTTAAATCTATCTGCTTGTGGTATCTCTGTCATAGCTTCTGCTGTTGTTGTTAGATGCCATCATGTCAAGAACTCATAACAGACCTATCAACGATAGACTGGAACTTATTTATACCTCACAAAACCTACTCTTCTTTCATACTAGCACTATAGAACTAAGAAACACATCGTCTAACTGACTGCATAGGAAAAGAAAGCCCCTGGATGAGATGGATTGACACAGGAACTGGGGGAACGTGGGTAGTTGGGACAGAGTCAGTGAGACTGGCTCAGGACAGGGCAGGCTTCAGAGCTGTTGTACATGGGTTCGCTATGAGTTGCAGGCACCTGACAGTAACAACCAACGCAACTGATGGTATTCTTAAAATGTCAGGAATTAAAGTCACCCACATCATCAGATAGAAATATTTTCATGTCATTTTCATTATTAACTTAATTTCTTATTTTTCTGCCACATTGCCTTCATCAAAACTCGGCATGAAGGTCCTGCATGCTAGGGACCACTTAGGGATGTCCTCCTGACACTGGAAGGGTGGTTTGATACATTTGCTATATATACATTTGATACATTTTCTGCCACATCAAAATGCAGCATTTGCTTTGCTGTGCTACAGACTGCATGATCAACACATAGTTAAATTAATAAATGACAAGTAGCTCGAGCTAACTTACGCTTCAAATAAAGTGTAGATTGGGGTAGTTTTTAGCAAACCAGTGTTCCTCCCAGGATTCCATGTGCAGACCAAGTTCTTTAGGTCTCGGGTTTCACAGGAAAAGTTCTTGGGCTCTTCCAGGATTTCTGTTCTCACAGAGAAAACAAACAAAAAGAAAAGAACTGGTTAATACCCTTTTAAAAACTTGTCTATCGGTTGGCGCAGGATAGAGCAGGGTTTAGGGTTGTTGTGCATAGGGTCGCTATGAGTCGCAAACGATTCGACGGCACATAACAACAACAATAACTAATAATAATAATAATTTAAAAACAAAGGCAGCTTAAGAATACAAAACAAAGTATTATAATGAAATGCAAGGAGCTGGAGTCAGAAAATCAAAAGGGCCGAACTCGCCTGGCATTTCTTAAGCTGAAGGACCTGAAGAACAAATTCAAGCTGCAAGCTGCAGTACATAAGGATGCTACGGGCAGAATACTGAATGATCCAGGAAGCATTAAAATAAGATGGAAGGAGTATAGAGTCATTATACCAAAAAGAAATGGCTGACACAGAAGAATTTTAAGAAACAACATATGATCAAGAGGCAATGGTGATGAAGAAAGAAGTTCAGGCTGCTCTGAAGAACTTGGCAAAAAATAAAGCCCCAGGAACTTATGGAATATCAACTGGCATGTTTCAGCAAACAGATTCTGCCCTGAACGTGCTCACCAAGTTGTGCCAAGAAATCTGGAGGAAAGCTACTTGGCCAACTGACTAGAAGAGATCCATATTTACTCTCATTCAAAAAAAAAAAGGTGGCCCAAAAGAGTATGAAAATTATCAAACAAAATCACTAATATCACATCCAAGCAAAATCCTGCTGAAGAGTATACAAAAAACAACTGGAAAGTACATTAACAGAGAATAACCAGAAATATAAATTGGGTTTAGAAGAGGTTGTAATAGTAGAGATATTACTGCTGATGTCCTATTTGATATTTGTTTGTTTACTGGCAGTCCATGGGATAGTCAGCACTCTTCTTCAATACCACAATTTAAAAGGCATCAATGCTTTCTTTTTTTGGTTTGCTTACAATGTTTGTATACACTGTGTTTCACACTATTCTTCATTCACATTGTGTTTCATACAATCATTCTTATGTATTATATTTTATAAAATTAATCAATTCTTCTTCAACCTTAGTCACCGTCCAGCCCAGCTCTCAAATGCATAACTAGTAGCTTTAAAGACCATACCTGAATCAGGCACACACATATGTGTGTGTATGTGTGGATAGATAGATAGTTCCTATTTTCTAATTACAATAGCCATATTGTCATTATCTTTATTCTTCCCATGTTAATCCTGCCTTGTCTTGGTCCTTGTGGTATTCTTTGTCTACATATTACATTCTATTCTTCTCCTCTACCCCTAACCCCTCAATTACCCTCCTATTGTCCCAGTAGCAGCTCTATGCAGTATTTGTCCTTTTGTGACTGAGTTATTTCACTCAACACAGGGCTTGTTAGACTTTTCCACATTGTTTTGTACTTTACAAAGACTTCGTGGTTCTTTAGTGATGCATGATATTCCATTGTGTGGATATACCACAGTTTTTCTAACTACTTGTTTATTGAGGGCATTTGGGTTATTTCTATTTTCTTGCTATTATGAGTAACACTTCTATAAACAGATTTATGTTTGTGTTTCAGCTCTGATTTCCTTGGGATGTATCCTCAGTAGTGGAATGGCTGAGTCACATGGGATTTTAAAAATGAAGTGAGAGGTATCACATTCCCTCATCTCAAACCCTACAACATAGCCACAGTACCCAAAACAGCATGATATTGATACAATGACAGACACATAGATCAATGGGAAAGAATAAAGAACACAGAAATCAACCTGTCTACCGATGGTCAATTGATATTTGACAAGGAATCAAAACCTATTAAATGGGGAAATGGTATAGTTTTGTGGGTGAAGGGAGGTGCGGGTAAAGGAAATAGGAAAGATCTGGCAGGAATCTGGAAAGACAGGCTAATGGTGTGCATAGATTAGTGATAATTCTATAAAACATAATGAATGAGAATGATTGTATGAAACACAATGAAGGATAACTGAGACATAACATATACACAATGTATACGAACTTTATAAGCAAACCAATTGTGGTTGTTGTTATGTGCCATCAAGTTACTTGAAACCCACAACAACACTATTTACTGCAGCTCTCAAGGCTGCCCTGTCCTGAGTCATTTTCACTGATTCCGGCACACCAACCCTCACTGCCCCAGTTACTGTATCAATCCATCTCATCTGGGTCTTCCTCTCCTGCACTATCTTCCTCAGTTTCATCAAGCAAGGTTGTGTAATCTGCATAACGCAGATTGTTGATGAGTCTTCCTCCAATCTTGATGCCCCAGTTCTCCTCATAAAGCCCTGATTCCCAAATGATCTGTTCTGCATTTAAATTGAAAAGGTATGAAGCTAGGATGCATCATTGATGTACTTCTCTCCTGATTTTGGAACATGCAGTGTTTCCTTGCTCTGAGGACTGCTTCCTGGTCCAATTATAAGTTTCAGAAAAGCACAATCAAGTGTTCTGAGATTCCCATTTTCTCAAAGGTTAGCCACAATTTGTTGTGACCCACATGGTCAAATGCCTCTGCATAGTCAAAGAAACACAAAAAGACATTCCTCTGGTACTCTTTGCTTTCTTGCAAGATCCATCGGACACAGGGAAATCAATATAAAACATAAACTTTAAAAACAAAAACAAATGGTGCAGGTAAAATGAAACATCTTGAAACAGGACCAACATCTCAAGTATACAGAAAAACCAACTCAAGATGGCTCAGAGACCTACGGGTAAAACTTAAAACAATAAAGATCATAAGAGACAGAATGGGAACAAACTTAGAAGCCCTGGCATGTGGCATAAGTAGGCGTGGGAAGAAGACAAAAATGTTCAACCAGGAGAGGATAAATGCTGATCAATGAATGTTGTTTGTTGTTGTGTTGTTATATGCCGTCGAGTCACCTGTGACTCATAGTGACACTATGTACAACATCCCTAAACCGTGCTCTATCCCTTGCCAATCTTATTGTCTCCAACACACCTATCCCCATTACCCGTGTGATGGAATCATTCCATCTCATCAATGGTCTTCCTGTGCCACTGGAGAAATCTGCTGTTAAGGACCTCTCCAAAGTGCTAAAAAAGCAACAACATTAATTTAAAGGTACAGCTGAGCCAAGCAACTGTTGTTGTTGATGCTGTGTACTATCAAGTTGGAACCGACCCATAGATGACCCTCCAGTGAGTTTTCAGAGACAGTAAATTGCACGGGAGGAGACTTCCCCTATTTTTTCTGCAGAGGAACTGGTGCATTTAAACAATGTGCCTTTGGGTTGGTGGTGCAACTCCTTACCACCATTTTTAATTGCTTTCTATGCAACTGAAAGTCGGACAATGAATGAAGAGGACAGAAGAATTGACGTCCTTGAATTGTGGTGTTGGATAAGAGTACTGAATATCTCACAAACTCCCAAAAGAACAAACAAGTCTGACTTGGAGGAAGTGCAATCAGAGTGTTTTTTAGAAGCAAGGATAATGAAATGTTCTTGCATATACTTTGGGCATGTTGTCAGGAGGGGCTTGTCTTTGGAAAAAATACATCATGCTTGGGAAAAGAGGAGGGTCAGCAAAAGAGAGGATAGGAAGATTCTCAGTGAGATGGATCAACAAGTGACTGTAACAATGGGCTTGAACACATCAGAGATGGTGGGGTAGGTCAGGATTGGGTAAAGTTCATCAGGCAGCAGATGAGTCACAGTCCCGCGACATAACTGAACAACAACAGTAAATAAGTAAGGAGCTATGGTAGCCTGGTGTGCTATGTGCTGTGCTTTTACCAAAACGTCAGAGGTTCTAATCTACCAGTTGCTCTTTGGAGAAGACATGGGATGTCCCCTCCCTGAAAACTTTACTGCTTCAGATGCCTGATGACAGGTTGCTATGATAGCATTCTTCACCATCACAAGAGCATGGAAACAGCCCAAATGTCCAACCACAATGGTACATGCACTTGATGGAATACGATGCAGCACACAGGATCAATGATTTCATAAATTACTAACTAGGGAGAGAGTGGAGAGCATTATGCTAAGTGAGATAACTCAGTTCCACAAGGAAAAATATTGTATAAGATCTGCCATGGGAAAGTCTGCTGTTAGGGACCTCTCCAAAGTACTGAAGAGCAATGGTGTCTCTCTGGAGACTAAGGTGTGTCTGATACAGGCTATGGTCTTCGCAATCACTTGTTATGCATCAGAGAGTTGGACAATGACCAAGGAGGATAGAAGGAGAATTGATGCCTTTGAGCTGTGGTGCTGGAGAAGAGTATTGAGAATACAATGGACTGTTAGGAAAACAAACAGATTTGTCCTGGAAAGGGTTAAACCGGGTGGCTCCTTGGAGGTAAGGATTCTGAGGCTCCGTCTAACATACTTTGGACATGTTGTGAGGAGAGATCGGTCCTTGGAGAGGGACATCATGCTTGGGAGGGTGGAGGGACAGCGCAGGAGAGGAAGGCCCTCTATGAGGTGGATTGATTCAGTGACTGGGATAATTGGAATGGGAGTGTCAGAGACGGTGCGATTGGCACAGGACAGAGCGGAGTTTAGGGCTGTTGTACACAGGGTCGCTATGAGTCGCAAGTGACTCGACGGCACATAACAACAATAACAACAAGATCATTACTGTAGAAGAAGGGAGCAGAGGGGTGAGAATGGGCGAGGAGGGGGGGTTAATCACAGACTTGCACAATTTGATAGCTGTGTGTATGGTGTGTGTGTGTGTGTGTGTGTGTGTGTGTGAAGGAAATGGGAAGGATCCAGTGTGAAAAACAATGTTTACGAACTTCTTAAGTAAACCAGCATAAAATAAAAAATTTATAAAACAAAAAACAGAAACAAGGTAGCTATGATTCGGAATTGACTTGATGACAATGAATTTAATTAGCAAGCAACAGCTTCCATTTCTGGACCCTTCCTCCACACGGCTATAACAGGAGGCCCAGGCCCAGGCTTATTCATCAATCAGCAGTCACTACGGTCTCCTGGTCACAGAGAAGGAAGCTGCCTCGGAGAGAGAAGGAAATTCAGTCCAAGTGACACCCCCCAATGACAAGAAAATTTACCTCTCTCTCTGCCTCTCTGGGGTTACCAAATCTCAGGCCACTTCTTCTGTATATTAAATCCTTTATGTACTGAAGGTCAAGCAAAGGTGTCTTTATGTGGTATGCTTGACCCCATTAACCACTTCACAGGAGAAAAGACCTGGTGATTTGCTCTGTGTAAAGTTCATTGTCCAGGACACTATGAAACAGTTGTCCCTAGGATACAAAGGCTGGTGAACCTGGAGTTAACTGGGAGCCCCCAATGGCAACAAGGAAAGAAGTCAGGGTCGCACGCTGAAACTGTTCTCTTTCCAGTTTTGTTGGTCCCCAGGACTGAAACTGCCAGCAAGAACAAAAAAGACAACAGGAAATCCTAGCACTTCAGGATAATAATTTAAGTCTTCTTAAGAAAACTAAGAAAGTAAACACAAAGTCAAGGGCAGCACTTGAGTGCAAATGACCGCTCATGTCTCGTAAAGGCAACTCAAATGCGGTCTATTCCACAGGAAATGCAGAGAGAGACAGACACACAGAGAATGTGCAAACTTACGTGATACAAAGAGTATGGACCCTGTTGGATCATCACCCGGCTTCATCTCACAAAACACAGTGCCCCCTGTTGGCCCAATGTAAGGAACCTGATGCACGGTATACGTGGACACATCTGCTGTGAGTTGTTCTCTACGCATTTGTTTCTTTTCCCAGAAACAGGAAAAATTATTCTGATTACTCCTAGAAATGGAACAGAAGGTGACATTGGAGCCTTCTTCCACTATTTTGTCCTGGGGGAAAATGAGGAAATAACCCTTTCCAAGAGAAGGTTTTACTGCAAGACATAAACAACAAAATAGACAATTAAGTTAGAAAAACACTCAAAATTCAAATACTTGGCCCCCTGCCCCAATCACTCTCAGCACTGGAAGGCACCTTAAATTTCATTTACCTTCCTGAGAAAATTGAAGCCTAAACTTTTTATACCGAATTTCAACACATGTCAAAACAATGTAACAAACAGTCCTTTCTACCGTCACTAGTTCACTCGTATTTCACTGATGTTGCCCTGTCCCGGCGATGTGTTCCTTCTACTGTTATTAGCCATGTGTGCTGCCACTCCTAACAGTCCAGGAGGGCAGAGCAGAACTGGCCTATGAGATTCCTACAGTGCTCCAAAGTCCTTCTGGAAGGAGCTGCCCTGACATGTTGCTCTGGTGTCCTCTGTTCAGCTCCTGAAAGCAGTCTGTGGTCGGGCTGCTGGCCCCTCCTGAGCAGTCGATACAGAGCGGCACCAGTAACACCAAGTTCATATCTTTTTGCTGTTCAAATCCACCAGCACCTCAGCTACAGAAAGGGGTAAAAAGATAAATTCCTTCCATTTCTAGCCTGGAAAGTGACTGAAGGACCAGCTATGAGCTGGTTTCAACTCGATGGAAATGAGAGAGACCTCGCCCACGGGGACTGGCTGTGGATGGTTTCTTTCAGAGCTGTGTGATTCCAACATGCAATACAGGCTGAGAACCTGCTCTTAGGTGGATAAAGAATAATCAGATTTTCTCCTTCTTCTTAAGGCAGTTTTGAGGTGGTTGTTCTTGTTAGATGTTTTCAAGGATGATGTACAGCAACCCTTCGAACAACAGATCTGAATCCTGTCCTATCGTGTGTCATTCGCATTATCTCCCACATTCAAGCACCTTGCTGCAGTCACTGTTATCAATCCATCTGTCTGACAGTCTTTCACTCCTTGTTCCTTTCCAAGGAACAGCCACTCCTGACAACATGCCTAAAGCATGTCAGACAAAGCTTCACCATCCTTGCCTCCAAGGGTCATTCTGGTTGTACTTTTCCCAACACTTATCTGTCTGTTCTTTTGGAAGTTCATGGGACATCCAGTAATCTCCTCCAGCATCGCAATTCAAAAGCAGCAATTCCTCTTCCGTCCTTCTTATTCATTGTCCGGCTCTCAGATGCACAACAAATGACCAAAAAGATCATGGCTTGAATCAAATGCACCTTGTTGTTGTTTTCATGTGCCATAAATTTCCTTGTGACTCACAGCAACCTTGTATACAAGAGTTCTGAAGCTTGCCCTATTCTGAGCCAGTGCCACTGACTCCAACACACCTACTTGCACGGCCCTAGATACTGAGGCAATCATCTCATGCAGGGTCTTCCTCTCCTGTGCTGTCCCTCTACCCTTCCAAGCATGATATCCTTCTCCAATGACTGGTCCCTCCTGGCCACATGCCCAAATTATGTGAAAGGAGAAACTTGGTTTCACCTTCTCTGACACAGATCTATTTGTCTTGGTGGTCCATGATATGTTTAAGACACTACTTCAGCACCACAACTCAAACGCATCAATTCTTCTGTCATTCTTAATCACTGTCCAGCTCTCTGATGCATAGCAAGTAATTGCAAAGATCTTGGCCTGGATCAGGAGCACCTTAGTTTCTAGACTGACATTATTGCTTCTCAGTACTCTGTAGATATCTATGACAGCAGAGTTTCCCAGTGCAATTTTGATTGACTGCTGGTGCCAAGAGTGCTGAATGTGGAGCTGAGCCAGCTGTAACTGTTAACTACCTTAATCTCTTCTCCATCCATCATGGTGCTTCCAATTGGCCCAGTGGTGAGAATCTTTGTTTCTTGATGTTGAGCTACAATCCATATTGAAGGCTGCAGTCCTTGACCTTCTGCAGCAAGCACTTCAGGCCCTCCTCAGTTTCAGCAAGCAAGGTTATGCCATCTGTATAATGTAGGTTGTTGATGAGTCTTCCTCCAATTCTGATGCTATATTCCTCTACATAAAGCCCAGCCTCCTGAATGATCTGTTCTGCATATAAATTGAAAAGGTATGGAGACAGGCTCATCCCTGACGCATTCCTCTCTAGAATTTGAACCATTCAGTGTTTCCCTGCTCTGTTCTGAGGACTGCATCCTGATCCTAATATAGGTTTGGCAGAAGCACAATCAAATGTTCTGGATTCCAATTCTCTTCAAGGTTAGCCACAGTCTGTTGTGATCTACACTGTCAAATGCCTTTGCATAGTCAATGTATTCCTTTGGTATTCTTTGCTTTCTGCCAAGATCCATTTGACATTGGCAATAATGTCTCTAGTGTTACGATCTCTTCTAAACCCAGCTTATATTTCTGGTAGTTCTCTGTCAATATACTGTTCCAGTCGTTTTTATAATCTCAGCAGGATTTTTGCCTGCATGTGGTATTGGTGATTTTGTTTGATAATTTCTACCTTGTAGGGTCACCTTTGGTTGTCCTCCAGATTGCCTAGCACAACCTGGTGAGCATATCCAGGGCAGCATCTGTTTGTTGAACTATGACAATTAATAATCCATCAATTCCTGGGGCTTTATTTTTTGCCAAGTCCTTCAGAGCAGCCTGCACTTCCTCCTTCATCACCACTGTCTCTAATCATATGTTGTTTCTTGAAATTCTTCTGTGTCAGACAATTCTTTTTGTTACAGTGTCTTCAAATTAATGTCAATGCTCCTTAGTACTTTGAAGAGGTCCATAACAGCCGATCTTCCCAGTACAATATAACTGTTACTCATTTTGAGACTATGTTTTTTTAAAAAAATTGTGATTTTTAATCTGCAGCCCTCAGGACTAGTTTTAATTGTTTTTGGTCAAACATTTTTCTAAGTGATATAGCCCTGGTCTGTCCATTTGCTGTAGAGGCAACTCATGTTTGCTGTGGTGCTCAACACTGTGATGCTGATGTGTCAAACGCGATCACGGTGACACATGGTGGACAGTGTTTGGTGGAGCTCCCCAATTAAAACAAACTTGGAAGCAGGAGCCACATTTACTTCTGAAATCGCTTGCCTCCGGAAACTCTATGAACTTGGAGAAATGAAAGTTTTTACACAAGTGTTCAGGTCTTTAATTCATAGGGTTGTTATGAGTCATCTATGACTTGATGGCATTTAACAACTCCTTTTTATTTTTGTTGTTTATAATGTAAGTTCTTCCAACCCGGGCCATAATTTTGATCTGTACTTTGAGCATGGCCTTCTTTTTAGCAGTAGGGTACAATGGCTAAAAGCATGCCTTTGGAGTTAAATTAGTTGGAAAAAAATTTTGAGGATTTAGGTCTCTGTCTTCAATTTCCCCATTTTAAAAAATAGAGGTAGGAATAATTTATTTTCAACATAGTCACTGTAAAGATTTGATGCGTATTATACTTAAAGGGTCACTTAAATACAATCCAAACTCACTGTCATGGAATCAACTCCAACTCATAAGGACCCTTTATCAGGTTTCTGAGGCTGTAGGTGGAGGGACTGCTTATCTTTCTTGGGAGTAACATCTGGTGGATTCAAACTTCTGACCTTTAAAGTTAGCAAAGCAACAGGTAAAGTAGTAGGCCACCAGAGCCTCTGTAAAGGCTTCTCAAAAACTCAACTAAAATTCATTCCCTTTGAGTTGGAACCAAATCATAGTTGAAGCTCCATTGGGTTTTCTAGAGGCTGTATATCTCAAGAGGGGAGAATGACAATTGTTTCCCATTGAGCTTCTGGTGGGATTAGAAGCAACAGAAAGAAATGGTTTTTGGGGTTAGCAGAGTAACTTCTAGGCCACCAATGCTCTACTTAAAGGGGTTACCATAATTCAGGGGCCCTGAGCCTCATCAGGCCAACTCAATGGCCACTTTCTAGGTGAGATATTTTTAGATTAACTAAAGCTTAAAAATGTATGGCAGCATTCACTGTAAAATTTTTTTGTTACAAGGTCAAAGGATAAAAATATTTTTAACCTACTTAAACATATTGAAAATTATTAGTACAGAATCTCACCACTCTATAATCAAGAGCTGCTTTCGTTTTCTAAGCTTCTCCCTTGTCTCCAGATTTTGCTGTGACTGGGGACCACCCAGTCCATCTGCACTCCAAGCAGACGTTTCCCACAGGATTTCCTACATTGTGATCTCTACAAGGGCAGACTGTAAGGTCTTTCACTGAGAGATGCTGGCTGAGTTTGAACTACCAATCCTGCAGTTAATTGGAGAGTGCCTAACTGCTTTGCCATCAGGATTCTTTCCTCTTTAAATCAAAGATTGGCAAACAAAGGTTTATGACCCAATTCTAGGCTATATCTTCTGGTTTTGTAAATAAAGTTTTATTGGAATGCTGCCATTCTCACTGGTTTACATACTGCCTCTGACTGCTTTTGCTCCACACTGGCAGGGTGATGCAATCAGGACAGAGACCATGTGGCCTCAGAGCTGAAATCTTTACTATCTGGCTCACTACAGAAAAAGTGTTGTGGCTTCTGCACAGTTTGTGTGAGGCAATTCTTTACAACTGATGTCCTGTTTTGTTTACTTGTCAGAAGCCCACTTCACAAATCTGAAAAATACATACTGAATTTTCTGAATTGGCTTAATTATCTCCATGAATAAATGTGGAGGTGAAATCTTGGACATTTCACCACGTGGTAAGTTTCAAACACACACACTTGTTAGCTACAAAGCAAACTGCCTGCACCTACCCAGGGTTTCTTGAAGGGGAATCCATCAACCTCCAAGTAATAGGAAATAAGAAAGCTTTCCCCCTTTCCAGCCACTTTGCTTCTTACCACTGTCTTTCTCCCATGAGCTCCAGGGGCTCCAGGCCCTGGGCTTGGGAAACCTGGCATCATCCACCAGACTCCTTATTCGCACATAGTGAGTGGCACATTCCAGAGGGAGTTCCGATTCCCAGCTCCAATGCAGGGCCTGGGTCCCCTTCACGGAGGCACTGTAGTTCCCCTAGAATGAAAGAGGAAAACATTTGGAAACATCTGGCCCTGGAATACAGCTTGACTATCACTGCCGAGAGAGAAGCCCAAGACCATGCAACTGAACAGTGTGACCAGTGCAGCCTGTTCTCGGCAGGCCAGCACCTGGGGAGCCAGAGACGCCATCTGCCTTTAGAAAGTCTACTCTCCGCTCCTTGTTATTCGTCATCAGGTTGACTCTGACTCATCGTGACCCATGCACAACAGACCAAAAGGTCCTGTGCCACCCTCGCCACATTGGCTGCCATGTTCCAGTCCACTGCTGTAGCTATTGTTGTTGTTATGTACCGTGGAGTTGCCTGTGACTCACAGTGACCCTATGCACAACAGCACTGAACTCCACCCTATCCTGAGCCAGTCTCATTGTCCCTGACACACCTACCCCCATTAACACAGTTGCTGAATCCATCTATCTCACCTGGGTTCTTCCTTTCTTGGGCTGTTCCTCCACCCTTCTAAGAATTATGTCCTTCTCCAAGGACTGGGCCCTCCCGGCCATATGCCCAATGTATTTGAGATGGAGCTTCAAAAACCTTGCCTTCAAGTAGTGGCTTGGTTCTACCTTCTCCAAGACAGATCTATTAGTTCTCTTGGTAGTCCATGGTATGTTCGAGACAATTCTCTAGCAAAATAACTCAAAGGCATGAGTCTTCTTTTGTCATCTTTATTCATTGTCCAGCTCTCCAATGCATTTCAAGTAATTGCAAAGACTATGGCTGCAGCTATAAAATAGTGTGAATGCATTTCTACCCATGGGCTCCACTTCCAGCATGAGGGCCAGTCTCTTGGGTTCAACAAGGTTCTCATGCCCTTATTTTCAGGAGTATCTTCAGGTTTTTTATTTTAACCTGTGTCAGTCTGTACAATTTGCTGAAAGATATCTATCATGAATGAGGCTTCTGGTACTTCAAACACTGGTGGCAGTGTGATTGTTATTGTTAGGTCCATCAAATCAACTATGACTCACAGCGACCCTAGGAACAACAGATGGAAATCATGAGGGGCTGGCGGCTCCAAGTGGCAAGTGACTTCTGGAGACAGCTCGGTGTCACCTTCCAGCAAGAAGAACTTGGATCAAGATGGTTTTCCTTGGTCTGTTTCAGAATGCTATGAGATCGAGCCATGGTATCTAGAAGCTTCTACCCACACCATGAGTGAGGAGCCCTGACAAGAACTGCGTTACACAGAATAACCTGAGGGATTTTGGGGATACTGCGATACAAACCAAAGAGAAACCAGAACTCCTGAGGGTCTCTCAGAGGGGCCCTGTGTGCTGCAAGTGGCTGTGAACTGAAAGGCTGGTGGTTTGAGTTCACTCTGGGACACCTTAGAAGAATCAGCCACTAAAGCTGTATGGCCCTGTTCCACCCTGATACAAGAGCTGCCGTGAGGCAAACTTGACTCAAAGGCAACTCGCTCTCCTGCCTGTATCCTCTTGAACTACAGGGAGATCATACATCTTTCCTTCAATGTCCAAGACATTCAGACGAGGGCTTCTGATGGATGACACTGTCTGTGTGGGACACACAATCACTGATGTGTGCCCCTTAATTCTATCTCTGCATGAGGATTAAGGATGACATCTCAGCTGTGTCATCTTCAGCAGCACACCCCTCTTGTGTCTCTGTGTCCTCATCTGCTGTCATCTAATCTTAGAGCTGGACACTGGAGTAGGATGAAGAGGATGACATAATAGATAAGGCAAAAGTCTGTTCTTGAAGTTTTTGTCACTGGGTTAAAAATTTGGAAATGGTGCTGTTGTAGTTTAATGCTCTCCAGTTAACAAATGAACTACAGCAACCTTGTCCTCTCCTGCACCTTTCCCACCATCCCTGATGTGCTCAAGCGCACTGCTGTAGTCACTGTCAATCCATCTCACGGAGAGTCTGCTACTCCATCTTGGCCCTCTATCTTTTCCAGCATGATACCTTTTACCAAGGACTGGCCTTCTCGAAAATATGCCCAAAGTAAGTGAGACCAAGTTTCACCATCCTGGCCTCCAAGGGACATCTCTCTGTGCACTTCCTCCAAGAAAGACTTGAAACCACAATTCCAAGTCATCACTTCTTTTCTTTTCTGTCTTCCTTGTTCATTGTCTAACTTGTAAATGTACAAGACTGACTCAGGTGAAATTACTATGGCTTGGATCAGGTGAAAGTTTACTCTTTAAATTGACATCCTTGCTTTTAGCCATTCAGAGAGGTCCTTGTCAAGCAGATTTTCCCTAATGCAGTACATCTTCTGACTTCTTCACTGTTGCTGCTATCAGTGCTCATTGTGGGTCCAAGGAAAATAAAACTGTTGGCTACTTCAGTATTTTTTCCATCTATCATGAAGCTCATAGAGCCCAGCATCCCGGATAATCTGCTCTGCATACAGGTTGAAAAGGTATGGAGACAGGACACATCCCTGGCGTACACCCTTCCCAATTTTGAACCATGCAGTGTTTCCTTGCTCTGTTCTGACGACTGCCTCTTGGTTCAAGTATAGGTTTCTCATTAGCACAATCAAGTGTTCTGGTATTCCCATTCTTCTCAGAGTCAGCCACAGTTTGTTATGATCCACACAGTCAAATGCCTTTGCATAGTCAATGAAACAAAGATATACATTCCTCTGATATTCCCTGCTTTCAGCTAAGATCCAAATAACATTAGCTACAATATCTCTAGTGGTCAAGATTGGTGGAAGATCTATCAACAATCTGTGATATGCAGATGACACAACCCTGCTTGCTAAAACTGAGAAGGACCTGAAGCACTTGCTGCAGACGGTCAAGGACTGCAGCCTCCAACATGGATTGAGGCTCAATGTCAAGAAGACAAAGATTCTCACCACTGGACCAATTGGCAGCATTAGGATGGATGGTGAAGAGTTTGAGATTGTTCACAGCTTTAGTTTGCTTGGCACCACAGTCAACACTCTTGGCACCAGTAACCAGAAAATAAAAAGATGTATTGCCATGGGAAAGTCTGCTGTTAGGGACCTCTCCAAAGTACTAAAGAGCAATGGTGTCTCTCTGGAGACTAAGGTGCGTCTGATACAGACCATGGTCTTTGCGATAACCTGTTATGCATCAGAGAGTTGGACAATGGCTAAGGAGGATAGAAGAATTGATGCCTTTGAGCTGTGGTGCTGGAAAAGAGTATTGAGGGTACCATGGACTGCTAAGAAAACAGATTCATCCTGGAAAGGGTCAAACCAGGCGGTTCCTTGGAGGCAAGAATTCTGAGGCTCCATCTAACATACTTTGGACATGTTGTAAGGAGGGTCCGGTCCTTGGAGAGGGACATCATGCTTGGGAGGATGGAGGGACGGCACAGGAGAGGAAGGCCCTCTATGAGGTAGATTGATTCAGTGACTGGGGTAATCGGGATGGATGTATCAGAGACAGTGCGATTGGCACAGGACAGAGCAGAGCTTAAGGCTGGTATACATAGGGTCGTTTTGAGTTGCAAGTGACTCGATGGCACATAACAACAACATCATGAAGCTGCCTGTTGAACCAGTAGTGAAGGAGAAACATGTAGGAAGCTCTGGTGTCCCTAGTCGCAAGAAGCTATGCTGCAATCCTGAAGGCACGTGGTTCGAGGCCACCAACAGCTCTGTGGGAAAAGGATGAGCAATCTCCTTCTGGGTTTGTAAGTGCCTTTGATAACCAGCTGGAGGGTCAGCCAACTCTGTGATACACAAACAATAACAGCAAATAATCCATGTTGAAGACTATGGGTCTTTGATCTTCTGCTTCAAGTCTTCTCCACTTTATGCAAACAAGGTTTTGATTGTGTCATCTGCATAACACAGGTTACTGATGAGTCTTCCTCCAACTCTGATTCCACATTCATCTTCATCTAGAACAGCTTTTTTTTTTTAAAAAAAAAAAAGTATGCTCTGCACACAGACTGAATAGATATGGAAGACGGATACTATCCTGATGTACATTTTTCCTGATCTTAAACCATTCAGAGTCCCCTTGTTCTGTTTGGACAACTCCTTCCTAGTCTACGTACTGACTCATCTGTCAGCTCGCTGTACTGTGACGGCTTGTATGTTACTGTGATGGTGGAAGCTATGACACCACTATTTCAAATATCATTAGGATGTCATCCATTATAAACAGGCTTCATCAGCAAGTCCAGACTGAGACAGACTAAGAAGCAGGACTGGACATCCACTTCTGAAAAAATCTGGGAATGAACAGTGGGAATTGTTGCATACCATGGCGAATGCAATGAACGTCACTTAAAATGGTTACACAGAAAAAAAGAAAGGAAATTGCAAATGACACCAGGAAAAATAAAGCATTAAACCTTTGTTTTTAAGGATCTTGAACACCTACAGGTTTCACAAATAGTCGACTAAAGCTGCTTCTCTGTGCAAAGAAAAATTTTATTGCATGATCCAGACACAGTTCTTTTAGATCACGAATGAAGTCAAGGTTTTTGGTTAGCATTATTCTCTCTGTTGGAGCTAGGGACTATAAATTCTTACCAATTCCAATTCCTCTAATGCTTCCCAAGATTTATCTTTGTCAATGTCTTACTTCAACATGATCTTTATTAAAAGCTTGACTGCATCAACCAATGAAAAATGCAAACTCAAAAATATTTATAATGTGCTTGTATGACAAATTATGGGATGAAAGAGATTTTTAAGATATTTAGGGGGAAAAAAAGCCAAAATCAACAAAACTACTTACCACCCAGATGACATTGGAAGTTACAATTCGACTGATCTGTATCTGAAAAACCATTTCTATTCTCTGACGGTATAAACTATTGTTGACATGCCATTGAAAATCCAAACGTTGTTGTGAAAAATTGGTGGAAATTTTGAGTGATTCGGGAGTCAACTTCAGAGATTCAGAAAAGTCTGGAAAACCAAGCCATGGTATGAAAAAAATGTTTAATCACAGCATGATTGAAAGCCACAGAAAATGCAACTGTTCAACAGAATCATTGCTTAGCTTTGGAAAGCACGAATTATATGTACATCCTAGACTCTGACACCTTAAAAAAAAAGCTGGCAGGAAATTTAGAAGACAATGTAGATGAGACAAATGACTTGAACAGCACACAGTTGCTAAACTGATGCACAGTTAAAATGATCTGTTACTGAATCCTCTAAATGGAAACTTCACCAAGGCTAAAGAAAGAGCGAGTGCAGCCCTGGTGGTGTAGCCTGCAGGAAGCTGCACTGTTAACCCGAAGGTGGTGGGTGCCTCCCTGCTGCTTTGAATCCACCTGTGGTTCAGTGGGAGAAAGACGGGCCATCTCCTCCCATCATTTACAGCCTCGGAAACTCAACAGAGGGTCAGCTATGAGTCAGTTCCAACACGAAGGCATAGACAGCTTTGACAAATAAAGAGGATTTTTATCATACATTACATATTTCTAAAAGTAAGGAAAAAAAACCCCAAGAGTTTGAATATTGTATGAAATAACATATAAAAAGACAAGAAAAGGAAAATACATAGAAACTACAGTTTATTAGTGGGCACTAGGAGTGGGAAGAAGGCACACATACAAAAACATGTCTGGAAGAGAAGTGTGACAATCGTGCAGCTGGGTCACCCACCTCCCTTCAAAAGACCCTGCTGGATTACCGAGCAGAGAGAGCGAGGAGGCTGCGTGTAGCTCCTGCTCTCACAGGCACTGCAGTTCACTGAACTCCAGAGAGACAGTGGTGGGCCAGGCAGAGCCGGACGGAGGCTCACGGATGAGAACTAACTAAATGACTAACCGTGCGCGAAGGCGATCCTAAGAAGCCGAGAGGCAGAATGTCGTCGTGTGAATTTTTCATGCAAACCTGTCAAGAACCACGAGAAGCAGCACCCAGATGCTACTGTCAACTTCTCAGAATTGTCTAAGAAGTGCTCAGAGAGGAGGAAGACCATGTCTGCTAAAGGGAAAGGTAAATTTGAAGACAAAGCAAAGGCGGACAAGGACCGTAATGAGAGAGAGTTGCAAACCTGTATCTTTCCTAAGGGTGAAACAAAAAAAGAAGCTCAAAGATCCCAACATGCCCAAGAGGCCCTTTTGGCTTTTTTCTTGTTTTGTTCTGTGTATCACCCCAAAATCAAAGGCGAGCACCCTGGCCTTTCCATTGGTGATGTTGTGAAGAAGCCGGGAGAGATGTGGAATAATACTGCTGCCGATGACAAGCAGCCCTATGAGAAGAAGGCTGCTAAGCCGAAGAAGTCCAAGGAGAAGATCACTGCTTACAGAGCTGAGGACAAGCCTGATGCAGCCAGAGGGAGCTGCCAGGCCTAGAAAAGCAAGAAGGAGGAAGACGAAGACGAAGAGAAGGCTGAGGAAGAGGATGATGATGATGATGATGATGATGATGATGATGATGATGATGAAAGGCTCACTGTAGCAAAGTTGAGTGGGTTTTTTTTAAATGATCTATAAAGCATTTAACCCCCCTAAACACAATTCATTCCTTTTAAAGAAAAAAAAAATTACATGTAAGCTGTGTAAGATTTGTTTTTAAACTGTACCATGTCTTGCTTTGTATAGCTAACACACTACCGAATGTGTCTTTAGATAGCCTTGTCCTGGTGGTATTTTCAATAGCCACTAACCTTGCCTGGTACAGTATGGGGGCTGTAAATGGGCATGGGATTTTATTTTATTTAATTTTTTTTACTAATTTACTTACAAAGGTTGTATACATTGTTTTCCATACTGGATCCTTCCCCTTTCCTCCACTCATCAAATTATGTGACCCTATGATTAAGCCCTCCCCCCTTGGATCCTCGTACTCATTCTACAATCATGGTCTTATATAGTATTTGTTCTTAGGAGACGGAGTTAGCTCACTTAGGATAATGCTCTCCAGTCCCTCCCCTGTTAGGTAGCAATTTACAAAGTCGTTCATAGTATTCTATTATGTGAATAATGTCTCAAGCCATTCCAATGAACAGTAGTTTAACTAGTGAAAATGTCTGCCTAGAGCACTACACTCTTTACAAGATTCGTCTCTATGGGATCCAGTGACAAAAGTAACTGGGGAGATTAGACAGATACCTTAGGTTGCAATGAGTTCGTGAGGAGGAGAATAACTCAGAATAGGAAGGGGTGAGAATGCTTGCACAACTCAAAGCAGACAGCTAATGTCACTGAATGGTACAAGCAGAAACTGCCCGACAAGTGTATATTTTACTGTGTGTGAGCTCAACAACTACAAAACAAGTAAAATTGGACTCTCCTTTTTGGAAGGCATATTTCACAGGTTTCTAAATGGCTATGAAGTAAGAAAGGAGCTCTGATGGTGTCCTGTCCTACAAACTGCACTGCTAACTGCAAAGTCAGTGGTTCAAATCTCTGGTGGCCTAGTGGTAAGAATTCTTGCTGCAATCCCAAAGGCATGGGGTTCGAATCCAAGAGCTGAGAAGGATGGACAATCTCCTTTTGTGCAATTACTGCCTCTTAAAACTGGCTGGAGGATCGGCTCTGGGATGGTTCTGACTTGTTGGCACACAACAACAACAACAACAGTACTTGGAGAGAAAGACAGGTGGTTTCTTCCTGTAAATGCAAAGATCTCATTTATGTTCAGTCAGAAATGAGGCAGAGCTGACTTTCCAGTGGGTTTTTAGAGGCTGTAAATTGCATGAGAGGACACTGGTCATCTTTCTCCCTTAGAGTGAAGTGCAGATTCAAACTCGATCTTTGGGTTGACAACACAATTCCTTACCCACTAGGCCACTGGAGCTCCCTCCTCTTGTAATGATTTCTTAAAAAACAAACAAACAAACAAACAATCACCTCACTACCTTCTAGTAGATTCTGACTCTTAGTGATCATTCACCAGGAGCAAGGCTGTAAGTTTTAACAAGAAGACCCCGCCCACCTTTCTCCTACACAGCTGCTGGTGGAGGTGACCCATCGGGCACACTGAGCCTTTTGCTTGGCGATGCAATGTGCTAGTGACTACCCCACTGGAGCTCCTGATAAAGATTAGCAGCCCTGAAAACCTGATGGAGGGATACTATGAGTTGGAACAGAGTTGATGGCAGTGGACTTGGTTTTAGGTTAATAAAATGGGAGCATATCTCATTTTCCAGACAAGATCACTCAGATCTCAATATACTGCACTTAAAACCCTTCTGGTCAAAAGTTGATAAAAAGTATTTATAAAAATCTGCAGGTCTTATCTTACCTATTTATATGAAACTGAATTATCTTTTTAAGATTAAGAACAAGACAAGGGTGCCCTCTCTCACCAGTTGTATTCGCTGTCATCTTTAGCTTGTGCAATAAGAACAAGGAAGAAAAGAACACAGATTAGGAAGGAAAGAATAAAACTGTCTTAATGTATAGATGTCGTCTAAGTAGGAAATCCCCAAATGAAGAGAACTACTCAATGATAATTGCAAGTCATAGGACACAAAGTTACTATACAAAGATCAACTGATTTATTATATATTAGAACCAGACAATGACAATGGATGATAGAAGGAGAATTGATGCCTTCGAGCTGTGGTGCTGGAGAAGAGTACTGCATATACCAAGGACTGCTAGGAGAACAGATTCATCCTTGAGAGGGTGAAACCAGGCTGCTCCTTGGAGGCAAGGAATTTGAAGCTCTGTCTCACATACTTTGGGTACATGGCCAGGAGGGACCAGTCTTTGGAGAAGGTTATCATGCTCGGAAGGGTGGAGGGACAGCACAGGAGAGGAATCCCCAGGACGAGATGGCTTGACATAGTGACTGAGGTAATGGGGTTAAGTGTGTCAGAGACAGATTGGCTCAGGACAGGACAGGATTCGGAACTATTGGGCATAGGTTCGCTATGAGTTGTAGGCAACTCAATAGCACTTAACAACAACAATAATTTGCAGCAGCTCTAATACCACCTTCTCCAACCCTGTACTGTAATTTTCTGTGTTTGCCTACCCTAAGGTTATGAAAAAAAGAAAGTATTCCTCAGTTCAGTGACACTAAGACCTCTAGCACACCTGTGATTGGTTGATGAATGAAAGAGTAAAGTCATGTACACAATCTCCAGAAGATCTGACAGTGATGTTGGAAGGAAGATGGGGGCCCTGTTTCTGTATTGTCGTCAGGTACCATCAAGTCAAGTATAACTCTAACAGACCTTATGAAGAACAGATCTGAACCTGGCCCTACCTGTACCATCCTCATGATCTCTGATATGCTCAAGCCCATCACTGTGGTCACGCTGCCAATCCACTGTTACAAGTCTTCCTCTCTTTCTCTGACCCTGTTTTTTTCCCAGTATGGTGTCTTTTTCCAAGGACTGATCCCCTCCTGACAACTTGCCCAAAGTATGTGAGATGCAGTTTCAGCATCCTTGCCTCTAAGGAGCACCCTGGTTGCACTTTTTCGAAGATAATATCTATTATTTTGGGTAGTACATGGGATATTTAGTACTCTTCTCCAACACCACACCTCAAAGGCATCAATTCTTTCTAGGTCTTTGTTATTCACTTTCCAACTTTCAGATGCACAAGAAGTAGTTTCTGTAGTAGTTGAACACTATTTGCCCTAACATACTTATTTTATTTTCAATTTTTTTCTTTTTTACTAAGATTCAACTCACAAAAATACTATGATTTGTTTATACTAACATATACTACCAGGGGTAATGAATGACTCAAGGACATGAATCAGAAACTACTCACTCAAAAGCAATATAGGTCTTTCTTGGAAAACGGTGAGAAATAGTATGGGAAAGCCAGAGATTCAAATGAGACCTGACAGATTAATATGCAGCCATCTTCCAAATTTCTTGGCATAGACAAGGAAGTACCTCTAGCAGTGATCCATTTGTTAAAACATTGTATTTAGGATTCTCTCAGTTCCTCAAGTCTTGACTTTTTCAACACAGAGAATACCAGAAAGATGTCTACTGGGGTTCTGTTGACTATGTGAAGTGATTCAATTGTGTAGATCATGAAAAATTATAGGTAGCATGGCAAACAATGGGAATTCCAATACACGTACATGTGCTCATGCAGAACGACCACTAGACCATGAGGCAATGGTCGGAATAGAACAAAGGGATACTGTGTGGTCTAAAATTAGGAAAGGTGTGGACAAGACCATCACCTTTAAAGTACCGATTCAACCTGTAAGCTGAGCAAGTATTCTGAGAAGCTGGACTACATGAAAAACATGGCACCATGACAGAGGGATGACCATTAACAACGTGTGATATGCAGACGTCACATTCATTGCTGAGAGTTCAGAAGACTTAGTGCACTTTTTGGTAAAGATCAAAGATTACACCCTTAGGTATGATTTAACCTCAAATTAAAAAAAAAATGACCACAACAAGGTAAAGGTAAATAATCCAATTGAAAAATGAGCACAGGATATGAACAGACACTTCACCGAAGAAGACATTCAGATGGCCAACAAGCACATGAAGAAATGTTCAAAATCCCTAGCTCT